GTGATACCTCATTGTGGTTTTAATTTGCATCTCTCTGATGATTAGCGACGTTGAGCATTTTCTCATGTGTCTCTTGGCCATCTGTATGTCCTCTTTGGAGAAGTGTCTATTCAGGTCCTTTGCCCATTTCTTAATTGGGTTGTTTGTCTTCCTCTTGCTGAGTGCTATGAGTTCTTTGTACACTTTGGAAATTAGCCCCTTATCAGATTCATCCCTTGGCAAATATGTTTTCCCAGACCGTGGGGTTCCTTTGTACTTTGAGGCTGTTTTCTTTTGCTGTGCAGAAGCTTTTTAGTTTGATGTAGTCCCTTATGTTTATTTTTTCCTTTGTTTCTCTTTCCCTAGGAGATGTATCAGTGAAAAGTCCACTACGTGGGATGTCTGTGACTTTACTGCCTATGTTTTCTTCCAGGAATTTTATGGTTTCGTGACTTACATTTAAATCTTTTATCCATTTTGAGTATATTTTTGGGTATGGAGAAAGTTGGTGGTCTAGTTTCATTCTTTTGCATGTATCTGTCCAATTTTCCCAGCACCACTTATTGAAGAGACTGTCCTTACTCCATTGGATACTCTTGCCTCCTTTGTCAAATATTAACTGACCATAATGGCGTGGGTCTATTTCTGGGGTCTCTGTTCTGTTCCATTGATCTAAGCAAATGTTTTTGAGACATAGTATGGAGACACAGTATAACATAGCTTAATAGTGAAGGTTAGCTAGCTTAGGAATTAAGGGTCTGGGTTCTGAAACCAGAAAGCCGAACTCATAGTCCCATCTCTTCTACATTTTCCTAGCTGTGGGAACCTTTCCATGTCTAAGTTTCCTTATCAGTTATTTGAAGGTTAATAACAGTACCTACGCCATGACAGATAGCAAAAACAGTGATATTACCAATTGTTTTTAAAATGATTTTTGATACAAATAATAAAAGTGATTATTTTAAAAATTACTTATAATTTTTCCTATGAGGAACACATTAACCCTGTTTTGCAGAGTGTAAAACAGAATCACAAGAACTTTTACCCAAGATCATAGTATTTTAGTAGTAGATTACAGACTCATATCCAGGTATTTTGATTAATAATATGATATACTGTTTCATTTACAATATAGTTCTTTAAGGTGTAGAACTCATTTTAAAGAGATGATTTTAAATGATCTATAAAAATGGCAGTAAGTAGCACTGAATTACATAGTATGGTTAGACTTTACTAGTACCTACCAATATCCTGGCCTCAACTTCTTTTTAGGCAGAGGGGTGACTATAATTGCCCTGTGAGGTTTAGGAAGAACTATGTGACT